TTTAGTGGGCTGAATAAGGGCCACTGCAGTCGCAGCCTATGGCAATATTGTATCTGTCTTAGCTTTATTAATTCTTGCAGTGGTTTGCTCAAGGGAAACAATATGATAATAGAATTTCTGTATTTGTACATTTGTGTATTTGGATTGAACCAGTTTTGTTCGACAGCCGGTTTAACATGGGTTCATCTTTGCTTTCCTCACCCGTTCAGTTTGATGGAGAGGATCAGTTCAACATGAGTGTCAAACACTTGCTGTCCCGCCTCCCCAAGCAGCGCTACCTGAAGTCCATCTGTGAGGAGATCAACCGTTTCAAATTCATTAAAAGGTATGTATTTTTTTAGTTAAAGTTTGCACTGTATCTTGGGTTCCTATAATGCTAAAGTAGTGATTCCCAGTGCTGGTCGTGCCTTGATTGTTTTAGTGTGTTCTTGCTCTAATTCGGTCGCTTCAACTCAGCTTTGTCGTTAGCGGATTTGTTGGATCAGGTGCGTTAGAGCTGGGAAAACACTCAAACATGCAGTGGTGTTCTTCAGATCTGAATTGGGAAATGCTGATCTAGGTAGAGATGCATCAATACCACTTTTTCAATTCCAATAACAATACCTGTCCTTTAGTATCAGCCGATACAGAGTACTGATACCAATACTAACTCTGTCCAACCTAACTCACCTGATATTTATACAATTACGTTTTTAAAATATTTTATTTTTGTAAAAACGTTCTGCGTCACAAATAAAACACACTCAGCTTGGCTACATGGCATTTACTTGTTGGATTATATTTATTAAATGCTTAAGAAAACTTATTTTTGTTTATTTACTGTATATATTTATTATTTACTATTTTTTCAATTCGTAAAAAGATGTTTAACAACGTAAGTAAATGTAAAATCTTTATTGTGCAAAACATTAAAAACAGAGCTGAACAGTGTACAGATAAACCTGTGGTGATTACACATCAGCACACAGCAGCTTCCCTGTCTCAAAAACGGAGCTAAATATTGTTTCACATCCAAATTTTTGGAAGAAGCAGCTCAGCCGTTCAGGTAAGCGGCTCCATTAGCGTGTTCTTAACAGCAAAAACTTGCTTGTTATCCCACGTGTTGTTAAGGTCTGTCTACTGGCGCGCATGCATGCATGCATCAGAAATTACTGCATGGTGTCAGTCATATGTATCGGTATCCCCTTCACCAATACTGATACTGCATTTAACTGCCAGTATTGGCATCAGTATCGGTGCAATGCTAGGTCTGGGCTTTGCCGATTTTCTCTGTATGCACCCAACCCCGCGTCAAGTTTCCAATTTAGCAGACTTGAAACTTGATGCAAACTTCTTCCACTACAGCCATTCACACCTGTGACCATCAGCAACCATTGTCTGCAATGGATGCCTCTCACCCACCCCCCACAACTGGAATGTCCAGTGATGATACATTCACTGCCAATCAGGTGAAGACTGAACTGAAAGAGTAAAGCGGTGGAACCTGATGGCATTGAACCAAGGGTGCTGAAACTGTGTGTAGAGCAGCTGTGTGGAATGAGGTGGATGAATCCATCATCTCATGGATAATGGACTACCTGACTGGACGACCCCAGTATGTGCGACCTAGTCTCAGACAAGGCTGTGTGCAGTGTTGGGGCACTCCAGGGGACTGTGTTAGCTCCATTAACAAAAGTGCTCTGAACAAAATAAACAAACTTATTAGGAAAGCTGGCTCTGTTGTAGGAGTCAAGCTGGACTCTTTGGAGGTTGTGGCAGAACGGAGGATGCTCAGCAAGCTGTTAGCCATCTTGGATAACACCTCACACCCTCTGCATGCTACACTGGATAAACAGAGAAGCACATTCAGTGGCCGACTGTTACAGCTGCGCTGTGTTAGAGATCTTTCTTACCCACTGCTATAAGGCTCTACAACGAATCTTCGTATAAAAATAAACCAGCTTTGAAAGGCTGGCTTCTCTCTTTCTGGGTGCCGCAACGCCTGTGCAAAAATCCAGCCCTCACCCAGGTATCATAAGTCACTTCACACTTTGATTGAAGGTCTAGTCAGATGCCAACACGCTTTTAGTTGTTCTTTTGTTTGCACATGTGGTAGGCTTGTCTTTGCGCACCCTTGCACATCAGATCTGAGGATTTATAGGGAATACTGACTGGCAAATGAACAAACTTCCCCCAACAAGCTCATATCGGTACTGTTTGTGAAGTCCTCTGCCAAATCTGCTCAAGTCTTTCTTTGTATGTCTGGGATTTCCAGTCCAAGCTGCAGTGAATACCCTAAATAGAAGGCCATCGTACGAGATAAAAGAATTTCAGCCCCAAACAAGAATTGGAGAGTATTGTGGGAAGCAGTATAACTAAAGCTGCTGTTGGCACCTACAGCAGTATTCGTACATTAGCCAGAACAGTTGTTTCTAATTTCCTTTTGTTTGCTCGTGAAGTCCTAGCATTGTGAAGGCCATGTTTACTTGCAAATTAGCTTTAGAAAGGAACAATGGAGACATTATGAGGCAGTTTTTCTTTTTTTGAAAGTTATTTCAACATGATTTTAATATATACTTCCTTTTGCAGGGTTGCAGTGGTGGTCTTATACAGTTACAGAGATGACTACTACAAGATTCTTCTATGAACCTGATGTCCCTTCCCCATTTCCCTTATCAAAAGCGGAACTTTTTTTTTCTCCCTGAAGAGAAGTATATTCTTGAAGGTTTACGGCTTCTGAAAAGAATGCAATTTACATTTCTACACAGAAATGGTGCCAAAGGAACAAATGGATCATGGAGTGTTATCATAGGGTCCAGCACTTACCAACTTTGAAACTCTGTAGTTTCTAAATATGGACTCTCAGCATAGTGAGATTTTGTCAATCTTTATTTTCATAAAACAGAAATTTTAAGGAGGACTCCAGGAGTGTTACCACATGACAATGTATTATAAGTGCTGAAAAAGACATATTAAATCATGTATTTTTCCTTACCAAAAAAAAGCTGCCCTCTTTGTGTAACTAGGCAGAAAGTTGTGGAATGGAATGCTGTAAACGTCTACACTTCATGCCTCTGTAAGCGGCATTAAATTCTTTGAGCCTAATTCTAGTTCAGTCTGTTGGAGTTTCCGCCTTCTCTCTCGGAAACACTGTTAATGATGATTGCCTCATCATCCCGACATCTCCACTGACAGCTGTTAATTACTGCTTTACTGAGTAAATAAGTCTGCAAATCAATGTGCCGAGATTAAACTTCAGGGGTTTCTGGCAGGAGTCATAATTAAAAAAATAACAGTTTGAGTACCATGTGAAAATGAGGACATTCAAGACAGTGATCACACATTTTATTCAAAAAAAGTGTAAATGTTACATTAAAACATCTAAGAAATATGTATTTACAGTTTGCAAAAAGTAAAATAAATAAGCTTGAAGAATAAAAAGCAGATAGAAATGGAAATGTACAGCAGCTTTGGCTACTAATGTTCGTCAACATCCAAACAACACACATCTCCGTTACTCAAACTATAGTTTAGTATTAATAAATAAACTATGTGAAAAAATAAATAATGTACTCTTCATCTATGGTTCATCTACTTTTTTCACATGTAGGAAATACAAACTGCAGTTGGCCTTCTCTATTGGGTAAGTCAACAGCTGTGGTTCAAAATTGCCTAAAACTGCTCGCTGCTTTGTGTCTGTCCTCTCCCCCTTCATTACAACAATGACGCAAATAAAAAATGTCTCCAACATTTTCCTATTATTAATGTTGTGCAACACTCTGTGGGTTTAGGTTTTTTTTCTCCTGTTGTTACTTGAAAGAAACCCACACAGAAATACTGTTTACTAAAGCTGTTTGGATATACTGTGGCCCCTAAAGTATTTGGACACTTGAACCATTGAAGTTTTTTAAGATACTTCATGTTTAACAAAACAGTATTTGTTTCAGAGAAAAACACTATTAGCACATCAAAAAACTGTTTGTAGACTGTGTTTCTTTGCAAGTCTGCAAAGAAATTGCTCAAACAGAAGTGTATCTACAGCAGGATATCGATCTGAAACACCCCAGCTGCCTTTTGAAAGGTCTTGGAATGGTCTATTTAAAATAAGTGCCTCCTGTTAGGACCGTTTGTTTCTTGAAACAGTGAACTTAAAAATTGAATATGGCACAAATGTGCAAATACTTTGCGGGCCCACTGTATGAATTCCCTCTTCACGTGTGACTTTTTCCAGGAATATTTCACTGCTTTTTCAGTTGGTAACAGTTGTAATAAGACACATTCTGTCCTGCGTCATTCTTGTGGATCATTAGCCTGTGGATCTTAAGTCATCAGGGTCAAATTGGATAATGAGGCCAATAGTTTCACTAGGTATAAAAATAGCTGTAATTTAAACATTATCACCTAGTAAACTAAATGCATCCATTCAGTTTTGCTTACATGAAGTATTGAAATGGCTTTGGCCTCAGCATGCAGCGCTGAGACGTTCTGTTTTCTGCAGCTTGTCATTGTCAGTGTGCTAGTTGGATTGGGCAGTTCTTTACTTTGTGCACGTGATTTTCTTACTTCTTTGCTAGAGGCAGATGCATTCAGTTCTGATGAATGTTCAGTTCAGATCTGTCTTCCCATCAGATGAATTATAACGGTTTTGATTTACTAGGCTTGGTTTACTATTATGCTGAAGTGTCCTGAACTGTGGACTTTTAGTCTGAGTTCTTAATTGCTTGATCTTACCACTTGAGAGGAAGCCATGACAGAAAGCACAGAATGACTAAGACTACAGGTAATACACTTGGAAATAGAAATTTATCAAATGTAAACCAGAGATTAGGAGCCATTTTCTTTCCTCTTGCAGACTCTAGTGTTTGTCCAAGTTCAGTATATAGTTCAGTCGTAACAGAGTCTGATTATTTTTCCCCTGCCAAAGTCCAAGAAAAAAAATCAGCCAAGTAGCTGCCCTCTAATTATGTCACTGCTGTGAATGGACAGCCAGCCAATTTGAAGCAAACAAACTGCCTGAGCAAACTTAAAAACAAAAAACCTCTTGAAGCAGATCTCCTGACCTAAAGCATTTGTGATGGTATGTCCTTAAAATAAATGTAACTGTCTTTAAAGAGGCAGTAATCTGTGATTCAGTCATAGTCAAAAGTTCCTAAGCTTTATGCCATCTATCCAGCATGGACTGATATGGCGTGGAAGGATCGTCCATGTCCATGAAGGTACGGTTCCCCTCTTCACTGCTCCTGAGACAGCAATGTAGAGTCTTTAAAGCTCCCAACATGGTATAAAAGGCAAAAAAACAAAACAATACACAATGTAATAAAATGAGATCACAAATTTCACAATACGTCTTTCCTCCACGGGAGACCAAAGAGTTTTGTGAATCGACAGCCGGCAGAAGAATCCTCAGCATGTGGTGAGAGTTTCTCTCTTGAATGTATGTGAAATGGAGGGGAGATGAAAGGAAACATCCTGTAGTCCTGCCAGTTGACCTCTGAGATATTAGCGCTGGACCCTCGTGTGTCCATTGCTGAGCTTGGCCCGCGGGATGCTGATCCGCTCCCCGCAGGGCGAGCTCACGTCTGGGGAGAAGGTCATACCACAGTCGTTCTTCACGCTCTGGAACTTGTTCTCCTTGGATGGCTCCATGTACACAACAGAGTTCTTGTTCACGTGCTTCTTCAGGATCACGGTCTAGGGAGGGGAAATGGGAAAGATTCCAAAAGGCTTCATTAAAGGAACACTGCTCGCTTTCAGGCTGGGAGAAAAGCCCTGCCAGCTTTTCGACTCAACAGCACGTCTTACTAGCTGTGTGTGGTGAATGTTTCGCTGTAACAGGATCTCATAAAAATATGAGATTAATTACATTTCCCATGACACACTAATTTCATTTCGTCAGAGTGTTGAGAAAAAACTCCTATGAAAATCTTGTTGCAGTTAGTGGATGAAAAATCATATAAATCTCAATTAACTTCATGAAAGGCATGTATTCATGAATGAGTATTATGGGTCATTAATCAGCCATTAAAAAACAGTCCATATAAGCTCAATTAACTAAATCTAATATTTTTACTTGGCTAGTGGTACTGGCAAGATATTTTTGTCATCATGAAGATCTTTAGGCCAGTTTCACACATACAACCTCTGCATGGGGTGAGCGATGGGAAATGTCTTTTCGTTTATGAGATTTTTTTCTGCACACGCCAAGCAGCAAAATGCAGTGAAATAAACTATGAAAAATGATAAACACAAAAACTGAATACAAACATCAAAACATGGATTCTACAATTCTTGGCCTTTATCAAACGAAACGTTAGGTGACCAAGTTTTGCTACATTCTCATTTTTTGGTAGATCTACAGACATGAAATAATTGTCCAATCACAAGTCACAAAACTGCTGAGGCTAAACGAGTGCAACATGCTCTTTTAAAGTAACCGATTAACCTTAAGTATCGACTGACTATACTATTGTGAATCAATGATAGATGCCATCTAATGTCACAGCCAACCAAGGCAAAGAAAAGTCCCATCCCAGGCTTTAAAATGTAATAAAGGAATTATTGATCTCCTAATCCCCAAATTCTTTTAGGATGCTGTCTTTGAATGTCCATATCAGTCCTAATATGTTATCTGGTTTCAAAAGCGCAAGGCAGCAGTGTGTATATATATATATATATATATATATATATATACACACACATATATATATATATATACATACACACACACATGCAGTTTTAAAAATGTACTGCACCATCGCAGCACATGGGACCTGTAGCAGTCATGCTGTCACATCGCTCATGTCATACAGAGGTGGTATGTGGGAAACAGGCCTTAGAGAGGGCTCACCTTTTTGGGCGCACTGTAGCAGGACATCTGAACCCACTTCTTCTTCTTGTTGATGAGAATGGCCACAATGAGGAAAATAACTATAGCCAAGAGGAGGCCAGCAAGAATCCAGGCTGCTGATTGGTAGATGAGGGACATTTCTGTCTGGCTTGGAATGTCCTCGCTCAGATTCCGATCATCTAGATGAGAGTTTTGCATCAAATGTCAGATTACTTCCAGCTCACACACAAATATTCTGAAATTGATACATTTCCAAATCAATTCAAATAAAAACAGCTTAGTTCTCCCTTCACTGTGGATGTGTTTCCCTTGGCTGTGGCGCCATGTCCGCTTTTTCTGTACTAGCGTGGTGGATCTGCAATTTATTATCAGCCAATCTTGATTTCATTGTCAACATTTTTTGAAATCCACAAAGCTTTCTTTTCACTCAGCATGTGGAAGTTTACGTTCAGTTCATTTGTCAAGCTGTGCCACTGGCTTGTAGTGTCTGTCAACAGTCATCAACCTTTTGGGATGCACTGATGGTAAAGGCATGACTAATGTTGTAACAAATCCTTCTTTGTGATCGTAATGTAATTCTGGAAGGGGCTACTCAGTTGGCATGATGGGTTTTGATGTGGTGTTTTTGGTTGGACTCTACCTGTGATTGCAACAACAGGAGGCACTGTATGCATGGTGATCCAATCAGTTTCACTTGCAGCAGTGGTAGCGGTGATATTGGCCTTGGGCTTGGCTGTTGTGGTCGACATCATTATCGGCACTGAGGTTGTCGTGACCTCTGTAGAATGGAGAAACGAAAAACAAGACATTTTTAATCACAAACAAGAATGTCAGTCACAGTCGCCAGTCTTATCGCAAGATGTTATTCAGAGCGTTGTGGTTAATCAGAGCGTTGCAGTTTGTTGGTATAAATGGCAGTGTGATTACCCATTTACTCTGTTTGAAATAAACATAAAGCAGAAGATGAAACGGCTACAAATCATAGCAAACAATGCCTGCAACTATTCTTTCCTCAAAAGGAAAAGCTGAGTGAGTGATTTGCCTCTTGCACTCAGAGCGCCGCACCCCTTCAAATGCAGACAGGAAAGACGTGTGAATATGCGGATGCCGGAGGAATGTTTTAGTTGCTTGGACCCGGGCTTGTGTCATGTGGAATGTCGCTGTGAAGGGAGTTGTGTATGCCCATGTGCAGCTCCAGAGGGAATGGCATGTGCAGGACTCCAGTTTGGGTTGTTGGGTTCAGACAAATATTTCAAGCTCTGCTGGGAACCAATGATTTAACCCATGTCAGAACAAGCAGTTGTGATGAGCATGTCAGAATGATCTAACCTCTGCTGAAACAATGTTTTGACAGAGATGACTGACAGAAAAACTGCCACCAACTAATGTACCTCAAGTGGTGTTTTTGAATTCATTTACAAAATAAAATAAAATCAGAAATTCTAACATAAATGGAAGCATTCATTTTAAACAGTTTTCGTGTTCCTTTAATGCAGTGGTTCTGAATTCCTGGCTCTGGAATAGCCCTACTACACAATTTAAGCTTCATTACATAATTTTTCATTACATCATATTTTTAAATGACCATTTAATGACAATAACAGCCATTTTTATCAAGAATGAATTATTAAACAGTACTATATAATAAAATAATCTGCTGTACAGAATTAAGGTTTATTGGTGCTTTAACAGATTTGTTGTTTGAACTGCACCACACAATAAAATTTCAGTTTCAAAACACAGGAAAATGTGTCCAAAACGGACCCGAACCAGCCCATCATAACCTAAAGTGCTGAATAAAACCTGGTGCAGATTACATGACCATTTAATTACGCTAACAGCCATTTTTATATCAATGATAAAAAATAATTTTAAACAATACTATATAATAATAATAAAATAATCTGCTGTGCAGAATTAAGTTTAAATGATGCTTTAACACATTTGTTCACCAACCACTTACATCCTTACTGTTTTCATTCTGTATAAGCTTTCTATATTACTATGCTCACGCTATGCTATACTGATATAACAAGGTAGGATTGATCTGTTTAATCTTACAAATTCTTTACATACAACATCACATGTAGCATATATAAAATATTTTTCACCCAACGCACTTAGCTATACTCTCCTGAATCGATTTGCTGTTCATTTCTGCTGCGTCTATTTTTTTCACAAAGGCCTAATTTTATTTAGTAGATAAAATCTATTAAAAATGGCCAGCAGGATATTAGAACCCAAAAACGAAAAAAAAACCTGCCCAGAGCCAGCAAATACTTGGGAAATTACGTCCGGACCTGAAGTGAACAGTTGGGTCTTGTTGGATTCAGACAAATATTTCGAGCTCTACTGGGAACCAGTGCTTTAACCCATCTCAGTACAAGCAGATGTGAATAGCTGGAGAAATGAGAAATTAAAGGTACTTATATTAGAGCACTCAATAATTTACCCCCCCCGGGACCAGACCAATAGTAACTTACCCAGGCAGTGTGGACAGCACTGGCCTTTGCGCAGAACTGGAACTCTGCAGTTGGCAGCAGGGGCATCGCTGGGAGAAGCACTGAACAGTCCCATTGTTGCAGATACAGCTGGTACAGGCGTTAGGCTTCCATGAATCACCAGCCAGTAGGACGTCTCCATCACTGGAGATACAGTACTCTCGCTGGCTGCTGTTGAGAGGAAGCAGGGAGCTGAGCGTGTCCTCTGAGAAACAGAAATGCACAACAGGGTTAACACAAATCTTAAATGCACATTTTTGAGTACATGCTAAAACCACAGTCCTTATAACAAGCTATGGGTGTGCAGAGGAGATCTGATCAGTAACAAGCTGCTTAAGTTGTACTGATGTGTAAGAGAGGAAAACAGCCTTTTAGCTTCACAAGCTCAGATTTATTTGTAAATTCTACAGTTAACACTTCTGGTTCAGTTGCTGGCCTGCAACGAAAGTACTGCACACCCCAACTACACTTTCCACGCAGATTGCTGGTAGTGTCATTTAAATTTGAGTCGTTCCCACGTTTCCTGCCACAGAGGCCCCTCCATTCATCAAAGCGCTGAATTTGACAGTCTACATTTAGCTGCAAGATGGGCTGATAAGCCTGACGGGCAGTTTGTGGGGAGGGCCAGGAGTTTCTCAGGCAGTCATGCGAATCTGATTTAAGGTTGGAGTTAGAGGGATAGCAGAGGTGGTTCTGTTGTTTACTACATAGAGGGTGTTTGAGGCATGAATGGCCGGCTGTCTAAAGGAAAGCACAAAGGAGTTTTTAGAAAAGAAAAAGTAGAAGAAGAAGAAAAACAAAAAAAAAAAAAAACACATGTTTCTTGTCTCAGCGTGGGCATGTAAAGACATCCAGTTTGGGCCGGTCGGTTTATTGGTCTGGGGCAGACAGTAAAGTGCCTCCACGGAAAGCTTTCACCTTTTGCCCAACCAACTGCTTGCTAAAAGAAACGTGCTAAAAAAAATCATTTGAGGAGTATCATCAGTCAGATGGTCTTAAACCATATTTGACTTTTCACTCCCATTTGCTTCACAAATGTTAAGTGGAGAAAAAAGAAAAACAGCTGTTAACAAGTACTGAAACTTATACAACCATACACAAAAATTACATTTTGTTCAAACTACAAACACATTCTCTATAGAAAATACACTTATGTGTCATTTTTACAGCAAATTTTAGTTCACATTCTATTTATTTGAGTGTAACAAAAAAAAATTAAAATATTAAATCTTTGCACAGGCCATATTTTGTCTTTTTCTAAAATATTAAATTCAGCAAATAAACAGCAACTGCATTAAAATGTGCAGAAGCGTGTTCTCTGTAGAGGATGTGTTAACTTATTTTCACCAGAAGTGCCTGAACCTTTGCATACAACTGTACTGGCAGTGTGCAATCTACAGACCAAATTTTTAATTTTGTCCATTTTTACAGATGGATATGTATGCCCTACAGTTTGAGGTTACTTAACAACCTGATCCAGTTTGATGCAACTGTGTGATGATTTAGACACGCAGTTTACACAGTCCTGATTAGGGGAGTATGCGCTTCCATCACGTGTTAACAAGGGGTGTAACAATCCATCATGAGCTCGTGATATCGCAATACAAACCTGTGGAGATGATTATGCCATCTAATGCAAATGCATTGTTCAAACATCAAATTTTGAAAATGATCAGCACCATTCAACACCTCACTCCAGCACTCCTGCCTGCCTGCCAGCTCGAACGTCTTCAAGTTATGCAATAACATGATTACAGTCATAATTGTTCTTCATTCAAATTTGGTTCAAAATATGAGAATACCAAATTGTGAATCTAATTAAGGCCTGAGTGTATCATTATACCCCTTCTTGTTTGCTATATTAGCCTTGTAGCTCCAGTGCAAAACTAAAGCAGCAAACAAGTCTTGGCTGACATTTGTGGTAAGGGGATAATTCCTAAGCCAAAACAGAATTGAACGTTCCTGCGAGTAGTTACTTGAAGTGAGAGATACCTGGGCAGACGTAACAGCAGGTGTCCTTGCTCCTGATCGGTGTCTGGCAGAGGGTAGGTGGACATGCTTCTGTATCACATAGCACCCGACCCTGCCTGCAGGTACAGCGAGTGCATCTGTCCAGATTCCACGTTTCACCCTCAACGTAAAGATCTCCTCCAGGTGCACGACACACCACCATGTCCATTCCATCTGGCTGGCCACTGCCTGACTCATCTGTATCAAACCAAGAGAATTCAAGCTGGGTTAAAGTAATACTACACCAATGCGTGAACACTAGCATTAAAGGAACTCGTTTGCACTCGTATCCATTGCTGACTGCAGTGAGATTTCTTTTGCACCTTTGGACATTTACTCTCTAATGGGTACAGCCTCCATATTGCTAAAGCCTATTTTTGGTCAGCTGTCTTAAATTTTTACAAAAGGGATATCAGAAAATAACCATGTAATGTATTACTTGTATTACAACAAGTTTGTTTTAGGTGAAAGCATATTACATATGCTTTTGTTTGGTGGGGTTTATTTCATCCCTTTCCAGTCAGTCGGCTGACCATTTGATGTGAACAGTGGTTGGTTTAGTTGAGCTCTAGGAGCGGCCTGTTTGCTTTGTGACTCATGGTTTTATTTTGCCCACACTAGAAATGGAAGATATTGCAGTAAGAGGTATAACAAGTAAAAAAGTGTGTCAAATGTGCACTTTTGAGGTGCCCTATTGACCCAAGCCAACCACAGAAGGCCTTGAAAACTTCACTCTCCTTTGCTTGGATTCTGGGAACTAAAGCTACTCTTCTTATGGGTTTCATATTAATGAGAGATCCATTAGCAACAGCAGAACAGGGAAGGAGTTGATTTGAAGTGTTTTTAAAGTTGGAATTGTTGTACAATACTGAGTATGTTCATCTAAACAAAAAGGCTGCTTTGTATTATTTAATTCAAATTGTTTGAGTGAATAAATCCCATTAAACTGGTTGTTGTCATATGAAATTTTTTAGGGTGAATGGAGAAACCAGCTTTTACAGTGATTTTTTTTTTTGACAACAAGCTATGCAATTTCGTATTTCTGTACAAGCTACTTCAACCTTGGGAGGATGGTTGGATCAAGCTTAACCGACTGAAGTGTAGCATCTCACTCGTGGTTCCATGAGAACATATGACTGGCTTGAATATGTCTTGCTAAATATTTCTAATCCTGCATATTACAGAGCTGATTGGTGATTACACTGCATGTGGTCTGTATTTTGTCACTGTGAACACAATGCATTTTCTATGCAGTATTACAGCAATGAAATCTGAAATGGACTAAAGATAAGAATAAGAGTCTGGACACTCAAATCAAAGCTAAAATAGGGATTTCAGGTCATCCTACACATAAGCCACAGTGTTCTTTAATGCCATATCTATAAGCCTCCAAGCATCAGAATCTGGCCTAAATGCCACACTCCGGCCTGACGGTACTGGGCACAAAAATAAACAATGTTTAGCTAGAGAAGAAATGCCCCATGCATGACCCCAGTGACAGTAAACCATTTTATTAATTTCAGTGTGTCAGTCTGGACCATGCTTTCCATCACTATATAAAGGTGCACGATGCTTCATTTCTTGTTGGATGTGAGCATGTGATCTCATTCAGAACAGAATTCAAATCGGCAAGTGTTTATTATAGTTTTGGTGAATTAGAGTAACAATAAACCACAACTCATGTGACTGATATTCCTATTCATGTGTTTTCTTGTTCAAAATGGTAATTTGTGGATAACAGAATAAAAATCTTTGAATGTTTGGCCTTGGTACATCACATTCCTTACATGATGTATCCAACAGCAGCAGATATTGCATGATTAGGTAAGAGTAGATAAAATGACTGAAAAGGCAACTTTTCTGCATCATCCTTAAAGTGTTAAGAAATTCTGACTGTAATGTTAAGTGTAACTTTTAGGGCTAGTTTGTACGTACCATCACAGGTGGGACAGCACTGGTGTGGCCTGAGCACAGGCTGTCTGCAGGTGGGCACCGGGCAAGATATGAGAACACACATCTCACGGCCAGCGTGGCAGTAACAGTCTCTGCAGCCATCGTGCCAACCCTCGCCTTCCTCAAAGCGCAGGCCATTTGCGGTCAAGCAGTAGCTTGGCAGTGGAGGAGGAATGGTAGTGCTAACAGCATGCTCACTCTCTGAAAAAAATAAACACACATATACATACTCTTTAGGCTTCTAAATGTTCTAAAAGGTTTGGATCTACCTACTGTAAGTGACCAAAATGTTTTTTTCTGGCAAGAAAAAGGTGCTTCTAAGACAGGAAATGTAACCTCCAAGCTATTGAAATTTATAGTGAATATAACCTCATTTTACTGTGTTCAGGTTTAACAGTTCGTTTTCCTGCACATAAAGTAACTAAATCATTTCCCTTTAACGTTTGGCCCAAAATAACACCTACATTTTCACCATAGTGGGTATGGGGCAGTATTCTTACTAAATGTGGTAGGGTCTTATTACGCTGTGACTGGAAGGGCACATACTTTGAATTTATTTGCACATCTGTGCCACGTAAACCAGCCACAACACCAAGCCCCGACATGTGTTTGTTTCCTTTCACAAAACAGGCCTTTTTTTATTTACAGGGAACAAAATCTGCTTTTCACATTTGATGTCACCTGATGCAGCTGTTTCAGAATAGCTTTACCTTGTTTGTGTCCACAAGGACCAAAAAATATCCTAGCCTAAAGTATTCATAGGATTCATGAGAAGAAATAAAACAAACTCAAGCTGAATTAATCGTATGCTAAACCTTCATGAACTCGGTTGTTTTATTTATCTTGAATAAACCTGGCAAACAAAAAGTTGCTTTTATAGCACTAGAGCAAAATGTCCAGTCATCACCTCAAAACTGACCTCCCTCTGCCACAGAAAAACTGGGAGGACATGAGTTATTTCATGCTGTGTCTACAGCATTTGGTGAACCAAAAATAAAGAACCTTAAACATAAACAAGATACGATATTTAAAGATAAAACATTTAAATAAATGTTTCTTATCTCTTCATATCCGCTGGTGTGGTGCAAAGCTATTACACTTTACATGACCTGTTTTGGTAGCGGAACCAGACTCACTTGAGGCTATGACCTATTGCTGCGTTCCAGATGGGGCTACATTATGGCCATGGGTTAGAGCTGACAGAGACAATCAAGTCTGCTGTGAATCCACTTATCAAGAAAAAAATCTCATTTCTTTCAGAAGCTGATGGAAAAAAAAAACGATAAAAACGACAAAAATGACTTGAAATACATCTAAATAGATATTTAGGCGACACAGCTGATTAAAACTGATTAGATGCTCTGTGTGGCTCCACTGACAATCATTTAAAATGTCAGCATGTATGGAAGTACAGAAAGGAGGTGGCTTGGTTTACAGCACCTGGCATCTGCTCCACAAAGAGTTGAATAACAAAGTAATAAAGATTACAGTTTACATTCTTGTAATCACATTACAGTTTGTGACTTGATCAGTAATACCTTACTTGCGTTACTCATACGTCTCAAAAAGAGAACAATATAAATTTTCTGCAAAGCATTTAAATCATAAATTGCATCTTTATACCTCATTGAGCCAAACCATTATGACCACCTGCCTAATATGCTGCTGGTCCTTCGCCACTGATTAAGCTCCAACTTGCCAATGGTACGGACTCTACAAGAACCCTAAAGGTGCGCCACTGGGTATGGCACCGACTTGTCTTCCTACCCAGTACATCCCAATGCCATCACTACCCTAGATAAACAGTGCCTGGCCATCCACATGATGTAAAAGAAAATTGGACTCACTGGACTAGGCGACCACCTTCTTCCATTGCTCCAAGGCCCAATTTCAACACTCGCATGCTCATTGTAGGTGCTTTTAACTGTGGACAGCGGTCAGCATGGGCACTCTGACCGCTCTGCAGCTACACAGCCCCATATACAGCAGGAGGTGTTGCACTGTGTGTTGCAACATTTGTGCCTTAGTGGCCCTTGCACAATTATAAGCCTTGGGTGCCCAACACCCTGTTGCTTGTTCATGGTTTGTTCCTCCTCTGACCACTGTCAGCAGGTCTTCACCACTGCTGACTGGGAGCACCCTACAAGCATTGTCGTTTCAGTGATGTTCAGACTCACTCATCTGGCCATAGTGTTCTGGCCCTTGTCAAAGTCGCTCATTTTCCTGCGTTCATCACATCGACTGTGAGAACCAACAGTTTGCTTATCATTTAACATATGCCAGGCCTTTATATGCGCTGTTGTTTCAAGATAATTGCTTAATCTGTGATGGTAATAATGTTTTGGCTCATCTGTGTATATTATCTATCTGTCCTTGTATGTAATTTCTGTGTGGGTACTTCCTGCACACACAAACATTTTATCACTTTAAACATTCTACAGTGGCACAGTATCTTTCCTCTAAATGATGACTACCTAACAATGCAAGAAATATGGTTTCAGATCGAATGATGCTTTGTCCAGACACTTACCTTTGCAGAGGCATACACTGCAGCCCTTCCTGTTCTGCTTGTAGCCATCACTGCACTGCTTGTCACATGTAAAGGGCGGACACTTAATGCAGCGACACATCTCGCAGCCAAGCTTGTTCCTCCTGAAGGAGACGAGATACAATTACAAATTTTGCTCAATGTTTTTGTGGCTTACAGAGGACAAAGGCAAGTAGGTTACCGTGCTCTTCTTTTAAACTTAAACATCTTTTAAAAAGAAGCAAACAAAATGATCTAAACTAGACTCAGTCTTTTCAGAATGAAACATGAAAAAATTCATTTTGTTTCAACCAGTGAGCTGAGTAACTTCAAATTCTGCTTATACAGTATGTGGCTTAGTGAACTGTTGCACATGATGTACCAGGTGCACTGAAAAACCACTTCATTTGTCATTTGTCACTGCTATAGTGCCATGAAAAGTACATGCCCCCTCCTGATTTCATCCATTTAGGCATATTTTCACACTTAATCATGTCAGATCTTCAAACAAAACTTAAAATATGGCAAAGGTAAACACAAAATGCAGTTTTTGAATGAGCATTTCATTTCCTGAGGGAAAAAACTGGTCCAGTGTGAAAAAGTAATTACTCCCTTAGTTACTCCATCAACCAGTTAACCAAATTTAATTGATAATTGGGACCATTTAAACTAGGCACAGCCAGGCTTGATTATGTCCAGCTCTGTCGAACCTAAACATGACCTAAATAGAAACCCTCCAACAACGTGAAGCAGGCTAAAAGGTCTCAATGAGCAGCATACTGTGCCACTGAATGAGATGAGAAAGTCACTGAAAGGGTTACAAAACCATTTCTAAGGCTCTGGGAAACCAGCATTAGAGCCATTATCTCCAAATAAAAAAACAGTAGTGAATCTTTCCAGAAGTGTCTGGTCTACCAAAAGAGCACAGTGACAAATAATCTTGGAAGTCACAAAAGACCTCAGACGAATATCTAAGGAACAGCAGGCCTCGCTTGCCTCAGATAAGATCAGTGTTCATGATTCCATCATCCCAAAGAGTCTGGGCAAAAATGGTATTCATGGGAGAGTTGCAAGGCCAAAACCACTGTTAAGCAAAAGTAGCACAAAGGCTTGTCTCACATTTGCCAAAAACAACCTGATGACCCCCGAGCCTTTTGAAATAATGTTCTGTGAACTGAGGAGTCAAAATTGGAACTGTTAGGGAGACAGAGGTTCTGTTACATCTGGCTAACACAGCTAAAGCTATTACAGCATTTCACAATTAGAACTTCTAAAACCATCAGTCAGACATTGTGGTGGTAGTCTGATGATCAGTAAAGTACAGTATAATTTATTAAAGTATTTCCATTTTCCATTTGATACTACTTTTTACTCCAGCAGGTGTTGTTACTCTGAAGTGAGAAGAAAAAAAGAATTTTTCATGAAAAAGTCACCTTTTACTAAGCCCTCCAGTTAAAAATTATTGTCATGCCATAGCTTATCAACTGTAACTAGGCAGGGGACCCCCGAAAAGCTTGCAGAATTTAACAAATTGATATTTTTAAATCGAGTACCTAAAATTTCAGGAGTTTGGAGGGAGAGTGAAATTTTACCCACTTCCTGAACACAAAGATAAGTTTATGACTGTTAAATTATCAGAATATATTTACTTTTTATACTTAAGTACACTTAAAAGCCAATACTCGTATTTTAAGTGGACAGAGTACTTTGTCTACCACTGTGTACAACCATGTTGAAAAGCAACAGAACTTAGCCAAATTAAAAGGTGGGAAAGAGTTTCACTTTCGAATATCATCTTTCTCAACTTCATCTGACCTTGCTTCTCTCTTTTTGCTCTATTCATCAACTGAATTATCCAAGATGTGCTTGCCTCAAGCTCTCATCATTTCTCACATCTCTCTCCAAATGAGGCATGCACACTGTGAGCTTTATCAGCTCTGGCTAAATTGCCAACAGGCGTTTCATCTAACAAGCCTGACTGATTGAGCGCAGCCAACAACCAACAAGATCATGTCTCTAGCCCTTCCATCTTTTGGAGCTCAGCCACAGAGTTCAGGAAAAGCAAACAACTTGACCCCAGTCTGCTCAGTGCACAAGTCCGCACGATGTGAAATCTCACAAAGTCACATCATGTGCTACATCACAAAATTTTACATCATGATGCACACCTGATGCATGTAGACACGTCATGTCCACACCAGTGAGATGTAAAAGCTTGGCTAATACATAAGCATGCAGTACAATAACTGAAAGCTCTTTGTTGAAGGTGCTCTGCAAAGTCCAAGGAGCCAGATGGTCAAGCCTGGTAGAGCAGGGCATATGGTTCTGCTTTCCTCCCCACTATATTAGTTCCCTTTGAAGAGTCCAGATAAAAGCAGCACCCAGAAACATGTGAGATCCCTGCGGTGCGCACGCCATTCCAGCACTAACAAAGCATGGTCTCCCCAGCCCACTTAACTCTTCCATTCATCCAGTCCTCATGGGTCCATGTTCAGAGGACATGAAGCGCTTCTTGTTTTCAAGATCTGCATAAAAGACACCTCTGTGCTCCATTTGAAAGATTTGACCACCTCTGCATCTGTCTCTGATGCTTACTTCCTTCTCTTGCTCTCTCTTTGACCTCTGATACAGGCTTCATTAGTAAATCCGATACACCTTCTCATCTATCACTGCAGAGAAACTCCACTACCTACAACAGCCGTTCCTAATCCATGTCCTGGAGTACCCCGGCCCTGCGCAGTGTAGTTTTTTCCTAACATGGTTTACACAGTTAAAAGTTTTTTCCAGACCCAAGGCTGTTTGCACCAAGAGGTCTGTACGTTTGGTTGGAGGAAGAAGATGTTTTTGAACCTGGGTGCAGTCCAGAAAACTCCTGTCAGTAACACTGGAAAACGGATGTCTGCAGAAACCAGATTTTTGTCTTTGATACCAAAAACAAGTGTAGTATCACAATGTGAAACCAAAACGATATTACGGCAGAAAAAAATAAACAACAAACTCCGATGTTTATTGAACACAGAAAAGTACTCAAATTGTTAAGAGTACAGAATACACTGTCAAAGCAGTGTTAGCCTATTTAGCCTTTTGTTATATCCTACACTTTTCTTGAGGTCCATTTATACAAACTCACACAAATATCATATCAAAAACAGGTATAATTTCAGTTATACATGACCATTTTTATCAATCAATCTTTTCATGATATAGGCCCCTTAAATAAAGTACTGAAAGTTAGAGTATCTGGGTCTGGATCTGTGATTGTTACTTACTACATTACTTCCTGTTTCAAGCTTTTCTTCTTTATTTATACAGTGTGGTCCAAATAATCCTTCTTCTGCACAAGTACAATGCAACATGAGTGAATTGCCATCATACAGTAAATCTACGGCTAACTGGTACAACACTGGATGCATAAATTAGGACTCATCTTACACAAGGTATTTTCTCCTCAGTGGACTATGTGCCAGCATGTTAGACTGTCTGAGAAATATATTTCCACTGTTTCTGGAACTAGATAAAATCAGCTAGAATAGTTAGCCTAGTTAGCGATAAAGCCTCTCTATATCTGCCTTCTCAACTATGTCCTTGGCAACACGTAACACATACTCACACAGTGTAATAAACACACTTAAAATTACCAGCAAACGCTTAAAATTTTACAGATGTTAAAATAATAAAAAAAAAAAAACGGCATTTCATTTATTTATTATTTTTTTCTGGATTATCTTGTGATGAAACCAAATGTATTTCAGTACTTGGATGCTGGGATCTCGAATGGTTAACCAAGTACTTCAATACATCCCTATTAATTAGCAGAAAATATAAAATAAATGTAAGACCAGAAGCCATTGCCCTATGATACCTTCACGAACCAACCTTAATTGTACTATCTGTGTCTGGCCTTTGTAAATACAACGAGCACCTACTTTGACACTATACTCCATGCTAGCCAGTGCAGCAGCAGAAGGCTTTCGCTCATTTGCTGAAACAGCAGTAATGTGTGTATTGAGCCAGACCCACAGTGGAGGCCCACAGTGTACAAACACAGAGATGGGGCGTCCCCTGACCTTTGGAGTTGGGCTTTGTTTAAAGTCAGCTTGTGGAATTTCACCGGGAACTACTGCTGGCTCGGCACAAATTCCAGTGGGCCCCCACCAATGGCCCCGCTATGTCCTGTCAGGTCCGATGATATTTTAGCCCCATTGAGAAGGGGAAACGGTTTAAGTCCTCCATTGTGTGGAGCCCAGGGGTGCTCCACTGTGCCAAATGTCAGTCCAAACAGCCGCTCCACTACGCGCCATGACACATGCTAGGCAAGCGAAGACTGTACTTTTCCTCCACCTCCACTCTTTTCCTAGGAGATGGAAAGGGCCACATTCATGCTATTTCTTTGTGGAAAGCAACTGAAACCTTATAGCTAATTGATTGCCCACGTTTGGCATCCATGAAAGGAACTAACACCAGCTTCATACTGAGTTCATTTCCAACTCGTCATACGATTGGCTTTTTTTGGAGATTTCACAAAAGCATCAAGCCCTTTCAACCTCAGAACTTTACCTAATATCAACAAACATATTCAAAGCGGAATATCTTTGAAAATCACTATAAACACAACTCTTCTCCCCACTGGGAAAGATGGACAGACAAAAGGCTCGATGTGCCCTGGCTTGGTGAGGGTTTCTAAAAACAGAAGTTTGAGAATCTGTGGGATGAAGTCTGTGCTTCCTGGTCCCATCATCCCCCCAAACCATATCCCAGCACTTAGCGAAGGCCCTATCAGCCCCATCTCTGGCAGAGGCTCCTCAACAGCATGGTTCAGATACCAGAGGAATTTCATGTAAGGCACACACAGGCTGCTTTTGTGACAGCGGGATGTTTGATCATTGTTTTGAAATGGAGGGATGCTTTATGAAATGAAAAGGGGCTGGCTTGGAGGTGAGGATCTGTAGGGAGTAAAGAGAAAAACTTCCAGATGTTTGCTTGAGTTAGGGGATTACTGGAAGAGAGGGGGTCCAGGCCAAGCCATTTTGAGCACACACCACAGCCAGGATTAGACGACTGAGAGTCAACCCTCTTTGATCTCTATGGAGAGAATCATCAGTACAGCAGCTAGGCCTAAAAAGTCTCTCTTTCTCTGTGTTCTGACCTGACGACTCTCTCTGTACATCAACACATCACTGCTGATATCTCTATCCGTCTGACTAGGACTGAGTCAAAAACAAAGCCGATCTGTGATACACTTTCTGACAAAGTTTGATGCTTACTCCCACCTATCCAGCTTTTTCAAAATGTTAATTAATAAATGAGCTTGTCATCTTTGTTTGCTTAAAATAATGTAAAATATTGTTTAGATTTTTCATTTGTCTTTGCAGAAACTTCAAAACAAAAAACAACTAAGAAGAGCTACCTTGTCATTTCTCACAAGTTTGATTCCCTTTATTGTTATGTCAGCACTCCCTGACCCTGTTTATACCTGGTCACTTCATATGACTAATTTGGATTGTGTCCCGGTAAGCTTTCAGCCAAATGCATTTACACTTGGTAGACAAATGTCTTAGGTTAGTCGGACTGAAATCAGATTGCTGTGAGGGACGGACTATCTGCTCATTACACAGCAACCAATTACCAATTGTTTATTTTAGTCTATTTGTTTAGTTTATTTTTGTTGATTGTCCACCTTCTGAAGTGGTTTGAGTGATCAGATTTGTATCTGTTTTAAATGCGTCTCGTGTGCGTTTACACTACATTTTTATGTGGCTTGGCCTTATCCAGATATAATCCTTATACTCACGAGCAATGGTGTGACCAGGTGTGAACAGGGTCATTGTCACCCAAATATTTCAGGCTTTTAAAGCACTTTTAGGGTAAAATAATTTGATATGTGCCTTTAAAGAGGCACTGCAGACAAAATTAATTTTAATTCTGTAGTAGTCACTAGAGCAAGATTTTCTGGTTTAAAGACTAGGAGAACCCCTTTCTGATGATGTATCTTGAATTAACTTTTGAAGAACTACAAGAAGTTACATACTTGAGGATGAGGTTTTAAAATATTTGAAATGTTTTATTTTTTCTGCTGGAGCAAACATAGCTGACATTACTGCTAGGAATCAGAATGTCTTGTCTGTATCAGTAGACTTACATATATCCATGAGGGCAGGTCTTGCTGCAGGTTAGAGGTTTACACTTGGACGGGATGCTGCACTCACACACTTCACAGCCAAAGTCATCCTTCTCATATCCCATGGGGCATTGCAGGTTGCAATACTTGGACAATTCAGGGCAGGAGTCATCTGAAACAAGTCAAATGAGACTAAATGTGATCACACATATGCATGTGCTTATATATCTATGTGTATATGTTTGAGTTTTAGTGCATCATGACACGTTGATCTGAAGGTGGTGAACTGCACCAATTTTGGATTTTTAGAACTAATTATAATAATATAAACTCTAATATATAAACTTCAGCAACACTGCTGATCCACCTGTACCAGCAAAACACACATCAACATGTCACTGCCATGTCAGCATCACTACAGTGCTAAGAATGATATACCATCCAATTAGTACCTGCTCAGTGGTGGTCCTGACCATGACCATTGATGAACAGGGTAAAAGCGTGCTTTCAATCTACACAGAGAATCAGACAGACTACAATCTGTAGTTGTAGAACTACAGCATGCACCTATATGTTAAACGGACTTGATAAAATGGACAATGAGTGTAGCTACATAGTGAGTGTATACACTTATATGCAAAGGCATCCTGGTCAAATTACACCTTCTACTGACTATCTAAGTGAAAATAAGTATACATCATCTACAGAGAACACATTTCTGCACAATGTAATGCAAATGTATTGTTTATGTGCTGAATTTAACATATTGTGGGAAAAATAAAACATACAATGCCATATTTAAGTGTGTTCCCTGTAGAGAATGTGTCAACTTTTTCACTTAAAAAATCAACAGAACATGTAATTTGACTGGGGTGTACATACTATTGCATGTTATTGTATGTGTTATAAATTATTCCAATAATTTTTAATAATCTGTTCAGTGTATTGTTCTTCTGTATATTTTACTGCTATGTAAAGCTAGGACAAAATATGATGTTTGCAGTGCACTAGACAACGATATATTTAAAGAATACATATAAAGATGGTAAGTTTTTAAAAACGTAGTTTATAACATTATACTATAGTTTTATAGACTTCATAGACTTTTTGGTGGGCCGAACCAAATATCTTCACAGGCTAACTTTGGCCCGCAGGCCACACCTTGGGCAGCCCTGGTGTTAAGAGTTGTCCTTGAGTCATATTTGTGTATTCAGAGATTTCATAATGCACTGTAACATTTTTTGAAGAATCCTAAATGATATATTACAAGGTTAGAGATTTACAAGCCTAGTCTATATAAAAGAGGGGTGAACAGTTAAGCCATTGTCACTTTAACACAGAATGCCCAGTCAAAGCTTTGCCCTAAAAAAGGACCATAGAAACCCAATAACCCCTGATTCATAGTCTTACAAGCTTGAGGAAATGCACGTCATGGGAAATGCCTTGTGAACAAATTACTGTGCGAAGCAGACTCTTGTCCAAGGTGATTCATCTTGAGTGTGCACTATGTGTACTGAGTCAGTGTTTACTTGTGTTGTGCACTGCTTGCACTTGCAGAAATATACAGTAGAGAGTGTTTTGAAAGCAGTTTGTTAGCAACACAACTATGTGCTGTGAAGCTACATGTAAGGCAGTGGATCAGAACTGCTCAGGTTAACTTTGCTTTTGTTCTTTATGCGACTGATCTGGTCTGTCTGTCTATATGTTTGTTTGCTGCTGAAATTACTGCAGTTATATGTATCAATGTGATTTCAAGCAGAACTGAAAAGCTCTGGTTATGTGTCAATGTCTGCTGTTTAGTCTTCAAAGAAAAGATCAGATGTGTATCTGATGAGGGAGAAAAATCCAATCTGGCTGGCTGTATAAACAAAGCCTTAGCGAAGTGTGAGAGATCTCAAAATCACTTACTGCCAAGACACTGACACAGTAGACAGCCATTGTGGTCCTGCTGAAAGCCAAATGGGCAGTCTTGTCCTGACAGGGAGCAGTTTTCCAGTGGGGGGCACAGTAAGGGGCTCACTGTCTCATACGAAGGCTCTGAAAAAACATAAGAGAAGAAGATTAGCTTCTGATACTTCTCAACAGGGACAGGACCTCTATATGCAGGTAGTATGCTACTTTATTAAAAGAAGCTGATGTTCCTAGTTAGTTCTTATTCTGTTTTTTCTTCTGTCTCCTCTTTGTGATCTGCATTTAGGAAAAGGGAAGAGGTCAAGTTTGGCCACACCACAACCAATCTATAATGCTCTCTTAAAATACTGTGGACATCAAAATCTGTCAGTTCCAGACTTTAATGTCTTACAGTGACTTATCAGGTGTGGTAAAACATCAGCATGCATTGCTAATGTGTCAGTGTCTTGATAAATTCACCTCTTTCAGGAGAGGGAAATCCAGGCCCAAACACTTTCCCAATGTCAGCTTTGTCTTTTCCTCATGGCTGCACTTACCAAAAAGTCAGGTGCTTGTTGTATATAAACCTCCACTCTCCAAATAAATTCTACAAACTTTAAAAACATGGTACCAATTCTGGCTAAACTGGCAGCAGCACCCTCAGGGTTCCAGTAATTACAGATAAATGCAGCTTTGATTTTCCTTATCTGGCAGCTTTGATGAATGAGCTGCCTCTCGTATTAGTCAAACTGCTGCACAGAAGCAACACTTGCTTCTAAAACAAATTTTACAGTGGCCCTAAACCTCAAAAATCTCAACTGTCGGTACTTAAACTACGTTAAAATGGGGCCCTCATCTTTGAGCCGTGGTAGTCGTGGGGAGCACTGCTGTGGTGGCAAGTAGAGAACCAAAAGGAGCTGTAATTATGTTCACTTAGAGTAATATTCTTCAGTTAAGGATGCCAGCTTAGACCAATAAAGGGTCCAAAGAATGCCGGCAGGCCTTCTTTAATGAGCAATGTGCATGTTAAATGTGCACGCGGATGGTACGGGATCGCTTACAAGTTCTATAATGGTGGGACAGGCAGTTATCCAAAAAATGAGTACACAAACAACTGCTCTTGTGTGCAATTATCATTCAACAACCTTCACACTGACATAATGATCAACAAGAACCGAGTACTTACAGAAACATCTCCAACTGATGCCAATTACACCTAGCACAATCTAAGCCTGAGGTTCCTGCTGTAAATCTGGAAATCGAACATTGGGATAAATGCATGCAGGAACTTTGAGGAAACAATCACCAATTTTGTGTGTGCAAGTGATTAACCCTAACTCCAGTGACAAGACAAATAAGTCAGAAAAAAAACATTAGTGAACTTTTGAAAACTGGTGAACTTCTGTATAAGGACAGCTGTTGTTAAAACCTAGACAATAAAGTCTGATAAACAAGATGAATCTTACACTTTATCGGTTTAATTGCAAGTAAATTTGGACCATAGGACAGTACAATGGGGGACGAATCTATACTCAGTTGGGCAACTGTCTGAGAAGCTGGCATCTTAACGCTTGGACCAGTCTGAAGCCCAACAGTGCCACAGCCAACAATGGGTGGTGGTCCAAGAGAGCACAATGAGTCCATTATCTCTCTGGGTGGGTAGAATAGCTTAGTTTCTCCCTCCTGTAGGATCTACAGCAGTACTGGACAATTATGAGCGCCTGCCAACTCAAACAGACAGATCTGGGCAATAAGTGCTCTTCTTCAAGCATGTGCAGATGCTCTACAATGTTGAAGAATACAAGCCAAGCTTCACATGTCTTAACAGAAACGTATAGGTGATATTCAGACAGCGCTCGGGAACTGGCACCGACTAACACTGGTTAAAACAATACACTGCAGAAACAATACAGTACTGTGGAAAAGTATTAGGCACCTGACCAAATTGGTTAAAACCATTTATCCCTGCAGTCAATTTTTTTGCAAAACCAGTAAACATTAAAATAAACATAGATAAACATAAATACAGTAAAACATCATATTTTCTATTTTTGTAAAAGTTATTAATATGTTAGTTGAAAGGAAAATAAAAAATACAATTGTTCCTTACGTTTGCTGCACTTCAGCCATTGCATGGATTTGTTAAATTCCATCAGCAGCACACCTTATTTAAAGCTGCACTATGTAAGATTTGGATATATCCTTGAGGAGGGCTTTTCAAATGATTCAGGGAACACACTGAAATACATAAAATCACTACATATTGTATTACTTTTATTTGTATTTATTCTACTATTGGTTTTTTTACTAGTGTCTGAGCAAGTACATGCTTATTGCACAAATAAATTGCTTTTTAAATATCATTCTCTCAGGTGATCTAAAACCTTTGGACAGTACCGTATATGCTTCAGGTCTTTTTGTTGTCTATCCTACAGCCAAAGCATTAGGTTATATAGATGAGCGCATAACTAGTTCATGTCTAGTGCTGTATAAAATATCCTCACAAAATGCTAACATATGAGTAAATATGGCTAGTCGTAATTCATGAACATAACTTTAAACTTTCAGCAGTTGTAATTCCATTACGTCGCTATACCCACAAACACACACTTTCTCTGGCTGTGGGTGGTCATGGGGCGTGTTGCCCCCTGGTCAGGACCTCAGCTATGGACCAGCAGTCTCAGTGTCCATGTTTAAATAGCTGGCATACTTTAAGTGGCTTAATGATGAGGTGTTGAGAAGTTCTTCTCATCACAGAAAGTGTGAATGAGTGTAAGTGTGTGTATCTGTGGGTTTAAGTGTATGTGAGAGAGAGAGAGATTGGGTGTAGGATTGTTTGTGCTAGAGAGAGTGTTAACATTCAGGTTTGTGTGTGTGTTTATGTATGTGTGTAGGCCAGCACATGTTATAGTAAGCCACAGTTTACAAAACCATCAATCCTATAAACAAAAAAAAGACCACACGTGAATACTTGCATGTGTGTGTGTACACATGTTTGCCAGTATCCATGTCGGTGTCTAAGTGCCTACCTTCACAGAAAGGGCAGCACTCTCCTGGGATTTTAACTGGGTTCTGGCAACTCTGCTTGCAGGCCATGGCTGTGCAGTGGGGTTCTCCATCCACGCACTGGCAGAATGTGCAGTCATCCTCCTTCCACTGCTCCTCATGCTGACGCAGCTTGTGGTTCACCCAGCAGCTGGCCTTCGTGCTGTCCACTGATAACAGTTCCACATCTGCAGGATGAGATACCAAAGGGTTAAAGCTTTGAAGTCTAGACTTCTAATGGCTATACAAATAACTATAATATAATCATATTAATTACTGTATTTTGCCTATATATATAAATACTGAGATAATTGGTATTGTATTTAGTTATTGCATGGTTAAAATATGTTTGCTGCTTTTTGTTGCTACTGAAAAATGATTGAAGGGTGCTCTCTGATTTTAGATCAGTGTTGTAGTTCCAGAATGTACTAAATTTATGTTCAATTTACAGTCTTTGTTGACAGTTCCAGGTTTGCAATTCTGATTTGTGTCATCTCTTCTACTTCCAAACACATGTGCATGTAGTATTGTTTGAATATTTACTATTTGTACTTTTGACAGATTTGCTTGTTTTACAGAGCTTCAGGGGAGAAATAACAACAAAATGCAAGTAAGAGCATTTCAAGGCATATAATCCTTTGGGGACCTGGGAGGGTTATTCCCATGACAGAAATACAGGGTCAAGGGAAAGAGTGGCTGAGTTACTGCATACAACTCAGAACAGATTGAGGCAAAAGATTGAGATTGTGCTTTGAATTATCATGCTAGAGGACAAGAAAAATGGTGATGGAGTTTGGATCATGGTAGAGAAAACCACTTAAAACAGAAGGAAAATACATATGTAACCATTAGTGTCACTACCAAAAAGTTTCAAATGAATATATTTTTGTGTGTGGGTCATGTTGTCTATTCAAAGAAATACACTTCCTTGTGTGTGATTGGTGTACATTCCTGCTCCATGTCAGGGGTTAACCTGACCACTGTGTGTCACTTTTAGCTAGACACTTTTAGCTTGACTGCTTTAGCTTCACCTCGGCCTATGAAGGCGAATACCAGTGCAGAGGTCACGGCTGTAATTTTCACTCTGAAGTAGGAAACGCCGTTTAAAAGCATTAGCTGCATTATACCCACATTTACACCAGTGTTTGAAGTTTTGAGCAGCCTTAAAGTGAAGCCAAATGTTTAAGAGCTTCCTGAACTGGTGGTGTGTTCTGCCAACGGCTTAAGTACGGTCTGGGGGAAATTCAGAAGTAATGTGTCAGAGGTTCCTGAAAATGCAGGTAATTGAGCTTTCTGGTTCTGTTTGCAATAGAAGCAGTTTAGTGTCCAGTCATCACTGCAGTTTAGGTGTTGCATGTGTGTTTCGGTATCTAATTTATTCCTAGGAAAAAGCCTATGTTTATTTGATTGCAGCAGTGATTTGGCTGATGATTTCCATCTGGGTGCAGTTAAACTTGACGACTCTTCATCTCTCTTCTTTGTTTCCGCCTTCTATCTCCCAAGGTCAGACAGTGCACTTTCATGTATACCTGATAGAGATATCTGCTGAAGAATTCAGGACATTAATCCTGAACTGGTATACTGGGACTGATATGTCAAAACTTTCCCCACTGAAATGTACTATACAACTTTGAAACTTGCAAGCATAAGAAACATAATTTTATGGATAACATAATTGATTTTGAAACTAATAACCCCCCTTCTGATAAAACCTTGAAAGTGGGAGGAATTTCTGAAAACTACAACCGCTATAGGGTGGATATTTGGGGGCGGGCTGTTTGGCTAATGCTACTGGGCCATAGACATAACGTTACTGCTTAGGAGCCGAATGTATAAAGTATGTATAAAGTCTGCTAACTGTATTCAAATCCTGATTACAATGGCAAGCATGTACTCAACCGGTGGTTCCAAAACACACTTCATCATATTCTTCATAACTTTCATATTTCATAAGCTACGTTCAAAAGGTGGGTGTCATATGAGAGCTGTAACTGTCTTCTTTCCAGTCAAAAGATAGGTAATGTAATTTTAAACCCTTGTAATAGAAGAAGCTGAACTCTGAATTTTTTTGTCTACTGAAAGTCGACCCATTTTTCCACAAATCTGGGCTATAAACTATAAACAGATGACATCTCTTCAGTGATCTGCTCTGTAAAAATTATTTTTTATAAAATAATACAAAGAGTGTCTAAGATTTTTGGCTTTCAGCAGTACATTGTAAGCATATAGCAATATGTGTATGATCATAAAACACATTTTCTGTTAATTTGAGGGGAACTTTTTAAAAAAATAAACAAATATAATAAAAATTTACAGTTATTTCATGCAGAATAATTTGCCTTATGATTTGGTCATGTAAATTCAGATGGACAAACCAAAATATACCCTGGAGAATAAGAGGTTAAGCTTTTGTCTTCCCCTCTGGTACAAATGGAAACTGTCTTAGACAGATTTCATATTACACTGTAACTTGCCCACGGTTTTAAACATTTAAATATTTTGCAATAATTTCATCAGGATGCATCGATTTTTTCCAAATTGCGTATTGTCCCCGTCTTAATACGTAATGCTAGCTTTTAGCAGAAAATCCAATTAATGGAATGATCATTTAACCTGAGTCTGGTGGTTCAACTCAGGTAGCTTTTCATCATTTTGCTTTGCAGAATATTCTTCAACTTCAAAGTTAACGTGGGTGCAACCCCAAGACTAATCATTCTTTAGCTGAAATACCAGTTTGATCACTCTGCCCTATGGGAAAATCATGTTCTTCATTTTTTTCAGGATGAACTGCTTCTCTTAACCCTTTATTTTCACAATGTAGTTCTCATTAAAGCCTTTCCTTTCTGAAAAAGGACCATGGCTGAACGGCCCGAGATGAAAGCATTCCCTCCTTTTAGAGGGCTTTGGATTCCAGGTGGGTCTCTCGACTTTGACCCCCTATAACCACCGCTCCTACCTCTGATGTTTGCTGAACCCAGAAATACACTATGACTGAGGGGAAATGCTAGTCTGTCTGATCTCTGTCTGTTAGCCACATGCGCTGCTAAGCTACTTACAGTCTATGTTGTCCACTTCCATCCAGTGAGCTACTGACAAAACCAGTCTCGGTGGCAACTATTAGGTTTAGCAACTGAAGATTATTGCTATAACTACTCAATTTGTTCCCTCTCATTTGGTCTTGTTATTATATCTCACAAGAATATAAATGATCAAATTGGACCACTGAACCTTTTTCATGTAAAGGACAGCTGTTGTGTTTAAACAATGTAGAAAAAAAAGAAATAGGAATTTTTTTTTTGGCCAGCAACAACACAAACATAATTCCCCATTCTGTGGGCCCTTGATGTTTACAGCATGTTTATGATAGTAGCATATTTCTGGATCTTAGAAAGGATGTGGTTAAGGTGAAAAACGTTGAATGCAGTCAGGGCACCTCGGGTGGGAGTAGCAGTACAAAGCCTCATGCTCCAACTCAACACTGCTGACCACACTCAGTGCTTTTAATGGAAACTGGCTTCCAAGCACCCATTCATCAAACCAGACAACACACAGCTCAAGTCCCAATGTTAAAAACTTTTACAAACAGTGTTAGGTCTGCATATAAAACCTAGAGAAGTGCTACGTAAACATTCATAAATTCAAATATAAGCCCTCCACTCTAAATCGTACCTAATAACATACATTAGCTGGTTCAAAGACATAGTTAGCTTACATCATTAAAGATTATGATCTAAACACGTTGGCACTGTATGTTTTAACAATGTCATCAGGAACATGCCATACTACATAGCACCATGTGGTGGGTTCCTTTTTAAAATACACCTATTTAACATGGTAATTAAGGATGGGACATTAACTGGTTTCACCCAAAGCTGTGTTACCATCTTTTTAAAAGCTGGTGGAAGTAAATACTATATTACTCCCTGCAAAGCACAATCCAAGACAACGCACATTTGCATATTTATAATCCGAATAGTAAGTAATAGTAATGCTACTATTATACAGGCGTTATGTTATGTACTTTAATAAAGGGAAATTTGTCATTTTGTTGCCTAACAATGAACAGTCTAGGAGCAGTACAGCATCGCCAGCAGAGCAGCGTTGCATGGGCCAGTGGGGGATTATGTGCCTTACAGGACACTGGACAAAAATGGCATCCAGGGGAGAGCTGCAAGGCGCAAACTGCTACTGACCAAAAAGAACACAAAGCCTCGTCTCTCATTTTCCAAAAAACATGCAGATGACCCCCATGCCTTTTGGGATAATATTCTGTGGACTGATGAATCAAAGGTGGAACGTTTTGGAAGATATGGGTCCAGTTACATCTGGCGTAAAGCTAACACCGCATTACGCCATAGGAACACCATACCAACAGACAAACATGGTGGTGGTAGTGTGATGTTCTGGGGCTGCTTTGTTTCCATAGGACCTGGATAACTTGTCTTAATTGATGGAACCATGAATTCTGCCCTCTATCATAAAAACCTGAAGGAGAATGTCCGCCTGTCAATTTGTGACCTAAAGCTCAAGCACAGTTAGGTTATGCAGCAGGACAATGTTCCAAAGCACACAAGCAAGTCCACCTCTGAATGACTCAAAAGAAACATAATGAAGGTTTTGGAGTGGCTGAGTCAAAGTCCTGACTTGAATCCCATTGAGATACTGCGGCAAGACCTTAAACGGGCAGCCTATGCTCAAAAACCATCCAATGTAGCCCAATTAAAACAATTCTGCAAAGAAGAGTGGGCCAAAATTACATCACAGCTACGTAAAAGACTTAACACAAGTTATCGCAAATGTTTGATGGCAGTTGTTACTGCCAAAGGTGGCACAAGTTATTAGGTTTAGGGGGCAATTACTTTTTCACATGAATAAATCTTTACCTGCAATAAATGATCATTTAAATGCTGCATTTTGTGTTTACTCGTGTTGTCTTTATCTTAAAATTAGTAGGATGACCTGAAACATTTAAATGTGACAAATTTTTAATTAATTACAATTACTTTTTTCACAGCACTTTACTTCTCAGCTGAATTCGATTAAGAATGGCACACAAAACATCAGTTGTTTTTTGTTGTAGCTTCATTTCCCTTTAGACGTCTATATGTCAGTGGTGGACTGGCTTGTTTCAAAGCACTTCCTGGCACTTGGCAAGGTTGTATAGATTTCAAAACATTCTGACAGATTAGCTTTGCTGATGCCACTGAAGCAAAGCCCTCAGGTCTAATGAAGATTGAAACTTCTTTGCTGTTTTAAACCACAACGCTTGCGCCTCCGTAGGTTACTCTGCTGGGAAATCTAAACATGAAATTTTTGTTCTTAACTGTTCACTCCTCTCAGAACACATCTGCTTTTGTTTGGTAAAATACTGTGATAGCCTGTGAATTATTTTCTGTTTTACATTCCAATTACAATCCACTTGTCTTTCACTTGTTCCAGACAAGTAGACAAGTGTTAATGTGAAGTCTTGTGAGATAATACCAAAAACTGTGACAACTGTGCTTAGGAAATATTCAACGATATCACATTCCTATTGGTCAGTAACTGAGGTGTTGATTTAGGTGGACTGTGGTGGACACTGGACCAACAAGACGGGAATATAGTTCACTTGTAAATACAGTGAAGAGTGAAGTTCATTAAGCCGAATGAGTGCAGTGCTCGGTAGTGGGTGAGAATATGGGTGTATAGTGTACCTATGCATACTGGGCAGCATTCTCCTTCTGGGATGTAGAAGTTATCACAGTCCAGCTCAGCACACTCAGCCTTGGAACAAAAGGAGATGCCCCCTCGACACTGGCAGAGCCAGCACGGATCCATGCGGTACACCTCACCCTCAGCAAACTGCTTCTCGTTGTGCACACACTTGGGGGAAACTGGTAAAGAGACAGAAGCAGTGAGCAGAAGGTAAGTAAATCATACTATACTTACACTGAGTTACATCATACCACAGTTAGCCATAAGGTCCGGTTTCATCCATCACTGAAACCACTGATGAATTGTTAAGTTTACGATTAAGATTTAAAAATAACATACATACAGTAAAACTGTCCATGCGTTCCCCCTCCCCAGTAACCTCACACTGCTGATCTAAGCACTTTCACTAAACTTTTCTTTGCTCAAACAATGCAGCCAGATCTGCTTAGCATGAATGCATGGACACTGCTCGCCTTATAGTTAGTGCTCACACACACACACACTGGGTTAAAGAAAACAGCAGCCGGAGCCGAGTGTGCACTGCAGACAGCAGACTGGCTGAGTAAAAGCCCAGCCAAAGTACCGGAAACCTCTGCTGTCTCCGAGGCTCTGGCTGCTGGAACAACAGATAATGCACGGGTCATTAGAGACCCAGAGCAAGCCCTGCGCAGCGGCACGCAATGGGCCCAACACGTCTGCCCCCAACATGGCCGGCTTTATCAGCATTCTTAATGAAAATCACCACACCTACCAGAGGGCAACATAACTTTGTTTACTGTATCACATCACCACATTAGAATCAGAAGCTTCTATTTTTACTGATTTCAATGTCCATAAGCTTCCTCAAAGCGTGTGCCGGAGAACATTCTTATGCCTGATCAAAACCGATTTCATAAATCAAGCTGGCTTTTACAAATGCTAAACAAGCCTGACGAACATGATGGAAAATGGTCTGCTTACTGGGAATGCCTAGTTGTTTCTTCAAAATGTCAGATGAACATGCAGTTCTGTGCAAAAGTCAAAGAGCACTATTTAGTTCATTGAATTTTCAGTCAAAATGGGTACAAGTTGTTTATTTTTCAGTTATGGGTTAAAAGCATTTACCAGGAAATTACACAGAAGCCTTCAGAACACCTTCACTGCCTTGTGAATTTATTCCTCGTATGCATTTAAAATGGTTAAAGGAGATATTTCTGAGGAGATTTGATATATGAAGATTATGCACTTCTATAAGGAAGAGGATAATCAAGGGGAAATAATTGAAAAAACAGGAGACTCCAAAGCTGGAAAAAAGGTTAAAGAAAATGGGATTCCAATTAACTGTGCAAGACCTGGTAGACCATCAAATAAACAGTATTTTTGTCTGAGAGATAGGAGAAAATCAAGCTCCTCTCACTTCAGATCTGAAAAGATCCACATGTGTTTCTGTCCATCCTTCTACTGTGCAAGATACCCTATGCTATTGGTCTGAAAGGATGTGTAGCTATCAGGAAGCCATTACTGAGAAAAGAAAAGACAAACACCAAAAAAATTTGCACCACACCTGAACACTTGAGTTGTGGAGTAAGGTTTTATGGACTGATGAGCCTGAATATATAATAGGGATTACCTGGACCATGGGAAGCAGAACATGCAACCAACTTCTAAGACTGAACCTGGAGGTGTGGGAAAATATTCCTGCAGATTTCTTAATAAAAAAAATGAAAGCAGGTCTGCTGAAAAGAATGGAATCCAACAAAGGCAAAGGGCGGACACAATAAATACTGAACAAAAATTAATTGTTGAAACTTGTGTAATTTTCTGTTAAATATATGTTTTCTGAAAAATTGCAAATATAAAATAACAAATAACGGTTGTTTTGACTGGCAATTAATTAAATGAAAGGGTAGTCTCTGACTTTTGCACAATACTGCACTTGCTATATCCATTCAGCAGCCTCCTGGTGTTCTATGCCCTGCCTATTAACATGAAAGAAGGTGAAAACTTGCTCTTGGTAATTTATTATATATGATATTTAATAATCATCCTGTTTCAAATTTTGCCAGTTTTACTAATTCTGAAACCAAGTACTGTCTTTTTTAAAAGCCATAGTGGAAGTACACGTCCTACTGCAGCAGTCTGTAAAGCACACACCATATTTTGAGGAAAAAGGCATGTTTACATAGTTATGTGTAGAAGATCAGCATGTTGAAACTGGTAGCACGATCCAGTAATTAACCTGGTCTTGGTTTCTGCAAAGTTTGTGATTCCCTCCTTTAAATGTGGCAGCACAAATGTCTTGACATAAATCTGAAGGTATAGCCTTCACACTTTCATCTTCATCATAAAAGTGATTGGGGTACACTGTGGTTGTTATCGTAAAAGTGAATGCTTTTCAATAGCATACCACATATTTCAACTTGCAGGTCAAGAGGTAGACTATAGTTCACTATAGTAATAATGATCAACTTCATTTATACATAGACATTCAGATGAAACTACATGTACAGTACACTCAAAAATGGATTTGCGAATCTTTTACTGTCACTATGTCGGAAATATATCTTTAATCTAGTCAGACAATTAAATATAACTGAAAGTAGACAGAATTACACAGAAGGATAGACTTTAGGCACAAAGTATAGCAGGAGACACAAGAGACACAGGAGATTATCATTCCAGAGACCATAAAGCAATGGTCACTAACACACCTCCTAGAGATCTACCTCGTTCGATTTAATAGTTTAGTTTTAACCCTAACTGGCCACACTTGCTCCATCTAATCCATGCAAGCAGTATTTTCATTTTTTCCAGTGGGTCTTCGCAGCCTGGACGAGACGTTTTTAGGAGGTTTCAGACTGGAGTTGACCTCGCTATAAAGGTATATGTCCAAGGGGAGGGCTGGTGACCACTGTCATAAAGAGTCCAGATGCCACTAGATGTGTCTCTGCTATAAGCCAGCAATGCTTTCTGTGGCAACATCAGCATCTGTAGGTCATATCTCCAAGGCAGAGTAAAAAGCAGGTCTGACCGCACGACCCAGTTCTTCGCAGGCTAATACAAAGCAGGTGGGCCGAGCCGGTCGAAAATAAAGAGAGGGTTTGCCTTTTTTTTTCTTGACCTTGCGTGAGGTGCGAGCAAGCAGAGCGAACCGAAATCAAGGTCAGAGAGTCAAAGATTCTGCTATGATTCATTAACATAACATGGCTTGATAGGGGAAGTCACGTGACAGGATGCGTGTATGTGATTTCCGCAGTGTTTGTGGATGTTAATCCCAAGCGCAAACTGGTGCCGCAGACGGGGATTCCAATCGTGCCTCCTGATTTCGGGTTGTTTTTCTTTCCCTTTCCATTAATAAGAGTCAGGGCAAGAATCTCCAAGCAGGAAAACGCTATCTACGCCATCCCATTTTCACTGAATAGAAAGTTAATCAGCATTGTTTACCATAACGAACAATAAACAATTAGCAAGCGTGGAAGTTAAAGCCCATTAATGAAAGCATTCAGTGCTTATCTAGCTCAGCAATCAGCCACTTTCATCAGCTATTTAAGATGTAATGGAGGCAACAGGTCCAGAGTTGAAAAGCACTGTAAATTGATGTTGCTCTTTAAAACGTCCATATATGTTCTCATAGTTAGAGCAGTATGTACACATCATGGAGTCTACATCCCAATAAGAAACACTAAAGTAGTTACAAAGTTTTGACACTGTTGTTATACTGGGTATCAGGGGTCAAAAATCCACAAAATCTACCTAGCTAAAAGTTCAAAACATGCTGCAAGATATAATGTTTTGTCCTACTTTGTCCTACTACATGTTTTGTCCTACTTTGTCTATTCCCAGAAATATGACATCAACCTCTCCTAATAAAACACAGTGCCAGTGCTTACTTACTCTCACTCACACCCATTCTCACCCAACTTTAAGGGCTAATACTCTGGAAAGGGATAACCTGAAGATTCTAAGGGTATTACTTCCATCGCAGTCCTGGCAGACCCACTAACCTAATAGGCAAGCAGAAGGAATGTGCCAGACTGGCTTGTTACCCAAGCAGAGCCTGTAGTAAACACTACACTTGAAAGTGATTAAATCATATCTAGTGTGATGAAAATGGTTAATTTTAATCTGAATGCTTAGCGTTATCACTACCATATACAATACTGTGCAAAAGAGACCACCATTTCATTTATTTAATTTCCGGTTAAAATGGCCATTATGTATGTTATTTATTTTTCAGCTCCATACAAAAAAAAAACAACAGCAACATATTTAAAAGCAACTTACACAGAAGCCTCAGCCACAAATATAATATTTTTTCAGGGTTTAGTGTGTCCACCTTTTGCCTTAATTACAGCCTTCTTAGGAGACTTGTTCCCAGTTTTTCAAAGAAATCTGCAGGGATATTTTTCCATTCCTCCAAAGTTCAGTCTTAGAAGTTGAACTCCATCTTGACTGGAAATGTAATAAATGAAGGGGTTTCTCACTTTTGAAATGTAATAAATGAAGGGGTCACTTCACCTTTACGAAGAAGAATCTATTTCTACAGAACCATGTATAGTTACACTACCAGCCAAAAGTTTAGACAGACATACCAATTTTTTTCCCTTTTTGTACTAGTTTCCACATTTTAGAATAATAGTGATAAAAGACATTAAAATGTGAAATAATATGGAATTACGCAATGACCAAAATGTGTTAAGGAAATCCAAACACTGATGTTTTAAATTCTTCACAGTAGCTCCCCTGTGCATTGCCTTGATGCACACGTTTGACATTTTCTCAACCAGCTTCATCAGTGTCATGTAGGCTCCACCCTCTCCTGTCTCCCCCCTTTTCATGCCTATGTTTTAGTCTTCACACCTGTGTTTCATTTATTTCTCCTCCTTTCCCAGCTGTTTCTGTTCCTATTATGTAGTCCTGTCTTGTTATAGCCTTCTTGTTTCCTTTTGGTTTTGTCTGACCCTGTGTGTCTACACATCCTGACATCTCGCACGTCGCTCAAATTTTGTTGAATCTTCATTTCTTTTTCATTCTGTTCCATGCTGTATGTTTTGTTTTTGTATTTCAATAAAGTTGTAAAACTTGTGCCTACATCCTGCCTTAGCACCTCACACAAGGACCTATAGTTTTCAATGAATCTTGAACCAGTTCCACATATCCTAAGCACTAGCTGGGGCACAAAAATACTGTGTAAAGTGAACAATTTCACTATCTATATTTGTCTTATCAAGCGTTTAAGTACTGAAAAATTTAGGTCTTCATCTTTAATTGTCTTTTACGCAAAGCATATATTTAGTCAAGCGTGTCCAAACTTTATACATCAAATACATATTGCGTATCTATGCCTACATTTCACTCTCTTCCTTTCTTGGGTCCATTCTTCTCTATCTCTCTGAAGCAAGACTCAGTCATGCAGCAGCTAGGCGCTAGGGCAGAGGGCACCAGAAAGGGCATGAAGTCCCCCAGGGCTGCTGAAAGAGGCAGACACTTGTTATCAAAATACTGATCCCCTCTTGCCCCCTACTGCCGCCACTCGCAGCCCTGCCATCCATACACACACTCTCATGCTCCCTCTCTCACATCCCACTTTCTCACTCTCTCTCAAACATGCAGGCCGACACATGCCCACACATATAACCCTCGATGAACCCTCTGCACTTCCCCAGTTGGATGTGTGTGTGTGTTTGTGTATGTGTGTGTGCATGAGCAGACAAGCGAAGCCTTTGACTTCACTCTGCCGCTCGGAACGCGCCTGGTAGCCTAAGCGCTTTTTCCTCTGTTCGCCAGGCTTTCTTGTTAAGTCCATTAGTTCCGGGACATGGCACACATTTACAGCAGGGCCAAGAGGCCAGAATGGGAATTTGGACTGTTGGTAAAACAGGGAATATTTGACGCTAACACAAAGTACACACTAACGGTGAAGTCCCCTTCCCTGTGTTAAAGAGGCCTCATACATCCTTTCTTTTTATCTCCCTCTTACCTTCCAACCAGTCAACATCTCACAATTTCCATCATTCTCTCTCACCCTCTCCAGCATCTCTTTCTCTCTTTCCATCCCTCTGTTCACTGTTCCCTCTCCCTCACATATATTCTCACTACAAGTCCACTAAAAAATCTGGAACCAAACTTGGCTCTTCAAAATAGCTCACAACACAATTTTTTTTTTCAATCACAAAACCCTAGTTACTTTTTTACTGTATTTGTTCATTTGCATCTATGGTTTTAAACAATGTGCTTAGATGCATAAGCCTTTTGCACAACTACTGTATGTAGGTCTCTACATACACATACATATACACACACACATGCACACACATGTCTGAAAGTAGACAACTGACCTTTACCCTTATATTTTGGAGTGTATCTGTGGGAATTTGTGCGCATTTAGTCAAAAGAGCATTTGTGAGCTCAGGCACTGAAGTTGGGCAAGAAAACCTGGCTCACAATTGAAGTTCCAGTTCCAATTCATCTCAAAGGTGTTCAGAAGGATTTAGGTCAGCACTTGTGCAGGACACTAGAGTTTGTCTAAACCAAACTTGTCAAATTATATCTTTATGGACCTCTCTTTGTGCATAGTCACTTTGCTGGAAAACAAATGGACATTCCCTAAACTGCTGCCACAAAGTTGGAAGCATGCAAGTCTTTGTATGCTCTGGCATTAACGTTACCCGTCACTGGAACTAAGGGGCCGAGCCCAAACTCTGAAAAACAGCCCTATACCATTAACTTTAATATTGCGTCTGTGCATTCTGATAGGTAATGTTCTTCTAAGCCGAGATTCGTCTATGAGACTGCCAGATAGTAATCATGATTCATCACTCCAGAGAACGTTTCCACCACTCCAGAGTCCAGTGGTGTGGTGCTTTACACCACTTCAGCCAATGCCTGGCATCATGCATAGTAATCTTATGCTTGTATGCAGCTGTTCTTGTTGATATTGGGTCCACAGGCAGGTTGGAAGTCTTTGAGCAGACAAGCAAAGCCTTTGACAGTGCTTAGTCGCTACTGTGAGCTATTTCCATAGTGAATGATGCAACTGTGGGTTTTGTGAGTTAGTCTGTGAGTTTGCGTGGTCTACTGCTTCATGGCTGAGCTGTTGTTTTCCTAGATGCTTCCACTTCATAATGTAATAAGACAGAAATTTGACTGACTTGTGGCAAAGGTGACATCCTAGGACAGCGTCACATCTAAAGTGCCTGAGATATTCAGTATGATCCATTCTACTGCCAATGTTTGTCTATTGATTGCATGGCTATATGTCTCATACACCTGTTAGCAATGGACTTAAACATGTGAAATTAATTAGGAAAGGTGTCCACATACTTTTTGGCTATGCATGAGGTAAGTCCTAACTGCTCTTACAATCAGAAGGGACATAATGCAGGATGTCTTGCAGATATCAATGACTCTTCAACAGCATTCAAGTATTGTACATGTGTATTTCTTTCTTTCATGTGTAGTTTAACTCATGCGTGTATGGACATGATGTTCAGAGAAAGCACAGATAATACATTAAACACACAGTGAATACAATATGCACTGTACACTCACTATACACTTTATAAGAAAAGTGGCCCTACTCTGTAGGATGGTGCACAGTTAGATACCGTTAACATGCACAATTTGTGTTAGCCAATCTCTTGCCCAGAAGTTTTCAAATCTGGACCTTGAATCCAGTTTTCAGTCCTGAATTTTGTATTTGCTGATAGGTATAACACTAAGTGGCCAGTCAGTTACATCAACAGTTCAATTAACCAGGATACAAAATCTAAAACTGGATTCAACGTCTGGACTTGAAGATCTCTGCTCTAGCCCTCCATCAGTGGTCAGTTTCCGACCACAGAGCTGCTCTTTACTGGATACTTTGGGTGGCGGATCACTCTCCATCTAGCAGTGACAATTACGTGTGTAAAAAACTCGAAAGTTGTTTCACTATGCCTGATACACTTGTAACAGCCGCACAACCACCAGTTAATTTAAGGTGCACCCATTATTATTATGACAAACTGTTCAGTTGTGTGTGCACAGCTTTTATAATCCATAGAAAAGAGAAGTACTGCCAATAGAACGCAATGCCAATAGAATGGGATGCTCTGGAGAAGCCAGACATGAGCCTTAGGTCACAATGCCCAATGCTAAGCACTGACTAGAGAAGTATAAAGCCCGACCGCACTGGGCTGTGGAAAAGTAGAGGTTGTTACTGCAGCAAAGTAGGGACAGCCCCACTATTAACACAGTTGATTTCAGGAGAAACACTGGGTTTCTAAAGTTCTGGACAAATAGCTTGTAAAGCAGATCAAGAGGGCAATAATTGTTTATTAATCCAGATGTGTGTCATCATATATCACTAATACAATGCAACAACATTCTTAGTTTGGTCTCACCTCTCTGGCAGTCATAGGTGTGGCAGCAGTTGCCCGGTGCACCAGTAGCCTCACTAACGACCACTGCCCTGTGTCCACTGGGACATTCTGGCTGGGGTGAGCACCCGCCACAGGTGCACTGAGGTGGCACTGTGCGGCAGCAGCCTCCAGGGGGCGTGTAGCTATGGGTCAGAACTGAGTCATGCGGGCAGTCAGTCATTGGTAGAGTCGGGCAAGTAATCCCAGCACATTTCAGCTCCTCTGAAAAACATACAGAGTGATGGTTAAAAGATGTTGAATAACAGTTGCAGTAATAAACACCTTGTACCTCTGAGTTTTTGCAGCAGTGAGTAGAGAGCAAGAGAGTGAGGTTGCAAGAGAGAGAGAGAAAGAGAGAGAGAGATCAGGTTGCAGGCTGGCAGAACCGTTCCTGTCATCAGATCTAACTCTGCCGGTCACTGACAGTTTTATGCATCCTGTCCACCTATCCGTAAGAACACCCTCCCGCACATCAGAGACCCCCACACTTCCTGTTCCTCACCCACTGCACTGTGTATTTCAGAAAACAAGCAGGGTTGTTCAGCTGCTCGTACATTCAGTCCCTCTCCACAGCACCAGTTCACTCATATAAACATCAGTCTCATACTGTACACTGACCACTACACAATTGTCATTGTCACAAACTGTCAACAGGTCATATGTAACATGACTGTGGTGTTTGGTATAAAGGCTTATATTATGCCTAATTTCTGTGTAATGTAGTCCAGCACAAGCCCCAGACTATTTTCTTAGTCTCCCAATCCCTGTAGTCTGCCATTACCTCAATCAGTCTCTCACTTCTTTAGAAGCATGCAGCAGTTCCGTTAAAGCTCCAGATATGGCCAAAAGACATGCCTGGGGGACCTGTGAAAGTGAGACTCAATACCCTGGCAGAGTAAAGTGTGTTTTCGACCCATTTCCAAAGCCAAACTGTTGCTGCATTGGTATCACCACTGTCATCAGATGCTCTTTTATAAAAATGCTCTATTTAAAATAGCCTTAAATAAGATATGCCAAAGCAAATGTTTACCTTCACAGATCAGCTCCTCAATGGTAAGTAAAAATGGAAGAATCGATCAGCTACATGACCATGCAGGAACATGACCATGAGTTTTCACTGCTTCAGTGGGCTGCACAGTCCCTGAAGAACAATCTTGTTGAGTATATTTGGGATGAGGTGGAAAGAATAGCTCACAGCAGTGCAGTCCAATTTCCAGCAAATGCTCAGCACCCACTTCTACACTGAACAACATTCCTGTACAATGCATCCAGCATCACACAAACTCCATGGCCAGACGATTTCATGCCATTCTGAAGTATAAAGGAGGTGCAACACTACTATAGATATCTTTCTGCACTCATTCACTCACACCTTTTCAAGCACAATAACCTCCAGCAACAGTGCCTCTTTTTACCTTGGATTCTATTTTAATCCTATCATTTAGCATAGTCAAAATATGCCTGCCCGCAAAGCCCCTGGTGCCGACATAGCTGCGCTGATACCCTTGTGGAGAGGCGTCGGGCCACTCTGGGTTGAATTTTGGATGCTGTTCAGGAAAAGAAAATTGGTGGATTATTTCTCTCTGCACTGTTATTGTGGTAGAACAGAAGCTACCTCACAGAGCTTGGATTACACAGCTCTTAAACAGAGTTTATTTTGGGTTTGAATTTCTCAGCATAATAGTACAACTTGAATGGAAGGTGTTAATACATGCAGACATAGAGGGAGAGACTGAAAAGTTTTGTTCTTGAAGTTTGTCAGCAAATGAAATATTTTCAGGAGGTTCTATCCAAAACATATTCTGGGATCCAGCATGAAGTAATGCAGGTAACACTTGATCACTTGATTCTAAAGCCTACGTTCAGAGAACTACTCTCAAAATCAGTTTTTGAGAGAATCTTTGGTTATTTTGGGGTTTTTCCCCAATCTGGTGCTCCCAAGCTGATGTGAGGAGTTTGGCGTGTCACTGTATTGTTTGAACTGCCAGTCACAGTCATTTCTGGATGCTTCGGCAAGCTTGCAGAGGGACAACAATCACTCTCCATAACTGTGATCAGGCATATGCCCAGCTGAGTCAGAACCTCAGTGTGGCGTGAGTTGTTCCTCTGGGACCGCTGCCAGTGAAACTCTCCTAGCACAGCACAGCACCATGTGCAGCCCCTTGCTCACACATGCATGAGGCATGACTAACACCAGCGTCAATCTATACTGTCATCCTGCACGGTCCGCTTCATTCTAGTAATTCATGTTTAGACATTTGTGATCACTTCAACCCCTTAAATGGCTAAGTCTCACCGGCAGGTTCAAAGTTTTACTACACACTTCAATGACCTAAGAATAACTCATGTAGTTACTGAATAATAAACCTTAATATGGAATAAGCCTAGGATTTTAAGGGGTTAACAGTAGGGACAAATCTAAATTATATTCATGTTAAAACATCCTTAACATTAAAGTCAACAATATAACCACTAACAACTCTTACTGACTCAGTGATATACTGACACATATTTGCACACACTCAACCAATCATCTTCTGATCACAAGTCATACACAAATACTACACTGAGATGAAGTGGGTGTGATAGAGCAGGGAAAACACTAAAATGTGCAGGGCACGTGGTACTTTAGGAACATGGCTGGGACCACTGCCTTAAACAGAGAGGTCAACCAACCAATGTTAACATGATTACAAATCATGAAAACGGATGTAGTATAACAGTATTTTAAAATATTTTTTCTGTTGTTTATTTGAACTAAATAATGTTAAAACAGAAGGCTGATGACCAATGAAAATACAGTGTAATTGGTAATTATGGCTACACGTGATGATCCTCCCATAGCACAGAGGAACAGAAACACCACAAAACTCATAAACAGCTAATTGCCTTATGAGAGTGAGGAGAGCTAACATGTTTATGAGCAAAGCCAGTGACATTCTTCATGATCCACTCGACCGCTGCAAATCAAGAGAAAAGCAGAAGCCAGACTGAACTGCATAACGCGGTTTGCGCTGTGGTGTCTTCCAGAGACCGGTGGCTTTGCTGATGTCCTTCCCAGGCTCTGACCCCATCGCCCCCTTCCCAAACCTGCAACTCGACTCTCGCTGAGGATGTGCCTCTGCTCTGACATTTACAGACCTGTAAGAAGATCTTGTTCGTTTTTTTCTTTCCCCTTCCCCCCCACCATATAGGAGATTCAAAAAGTAATTTAGCAAAGTCACGATACACTTTGATCAGACTTACTACTTACTCTGCCGTGGTTAGACCTACATATTTGAAATCTAAAAAATTTTAGATTGGCTACTGTTATCCCAGTCAACTCCCAGCGTTTTCTGCGATTTTTGGGTCAAGATTTCGTTTCTTCAAGTTAATTAACCACACAGAACTGTAAATTTGTACTGAAGGGAAAACTGAAATTGAGTAGGCCTGCGTGTATGTGCGTTGCACGTATGGGTAGGGTAATATTTTGGTAGGAAATCTGACGGCTGAGATTGAGGCCGCGGCACCCGTTGAATAAATAGTGTTGGAGTGTGAGGTATCTGTACAGCACTGTTTGCTTTAGCTGACTGAGAAACAGCAGTAGCTAGGCACAAAGCTTGCATTGATCAAACCTTCTCAATATATACTAACACTGAGAGAAGAAAAAAAAACAGCGCATTAACATTGGCCAAGCCCCTGTTCAACGGCCTTTGCTGTAAATCCTACACTTCAGTCAAATAAACAGCCAGAGGTCTGATTTTGGAACATTTCAAAAGCTTTCAGATGATGTTCATTCAGGCTGGACAAATTCTAAAAATAAGAATTTTGTTGGTAACACTTTATTTTGTGAACTCTTGCAGATGCTTTGTATGTGCTCCACTTGTCTTTAATCAGTGGAGAACCTGCAGGGCCTTCTAGGACTTCAGAGAAGGCCTAATGATTTCTAGTTTCCGGGAAACTAGTTTTATTTAATAGTATGATTTTGCTTGTTGTACTTAAACTCTGCAAATATTTTAGTAATGCTCTTATTTCACCTTAAAAAACAAAGGGGTTAAGATCTTGAAACACTCAACAGAAAATTTTCCAATCAGATTTTTTTCCCTGTGGTATGTAGGTAGATACAGTCAAGTGAGCTCCCCCATTGGTTAGGCCTTCTGGAAGTCCTAGATATGTCTCTGACTGTGAATATGAGCAGTAGTCTAACCAGGTTTCGGTCAGCAGTGGAAGCTCTAGAACAAGGCTTTTTACTGAGTCAATGAAAAGGTACAAGATAAAATGTGTTATCGTTTGTTGTAAGCTTGAAATAAAGATATAGAAATGTCTTTTACACACTTTAAATGCCCATGTTTAATCTAGAATGGACAAAAAATATTCATGAGAACCAACATTAACTTAGCACTAACTTAGCACCAAGATACTATTAGAAATCCCATAGGGTGTATTAGTATTATCGTAAAATTGTTGTTTTTTTTTCTCTAAGTTTGCTATTTAGGTCCCTTACTGAAGTCCAAGCTCCAAGAGTTATGGTTTATCTTAACCTGAGCCCAAAATCTAAACCTAACTCTAATCCCGGTCTAATCCCTAATCTAACTCCAACTCTAATGCTATCAATAATGAATTGAGTTTTGGTACATAGTTTGTCAAAGATTTGAACATCTGTAGACAGCTCATTGCCATCAAAATAAAGTGTGACCAAATCTTTATTGGAAATTTGGAGAACAAAGACTAGCAGAGTGGTTATGCAATACTTTTGTACAGGTCAAGTGTGTTTAGCAATGATCTAAACTGAAGCTCATGGGCAATGGTTACTGTCATTCAAATGAGCTGGATGGAACGGTGGTTCATAGCAGCCAAATTAATTAGATTATTAGCTGGGTGGAGGGCACAATAAGAAGAGTGAGAGCGGCTATAAAAATTCAATAGCAGATGCATTTCAGCACCGCTGTCTGTCTGTTTTCTATGGGACAGCATGGGATAATTAGCTAGTCAGTGGCTACGGAAGCAGTCTTACCACTACAATGGTGGCTATTCTCCAGTGTTTAGCAAACAAAGACACAAAGGCCTCATTTGACATGCTTGATAAATTCAGTCTAACCAAAATTTGCGTGCTCCTGGTAGAATGGCGAGGCACCATGAAATGCCTAGCAACCGGTGGGTCTAGGCAACACACACACAGATATCCACACACACATACAGAGAAAATCACAAGGACCAAAAGAGGTGCGACACGGAAACTAGCT